TTCAAATGGCTTTTGTTATCAGGGAAGGGTGTAAGAAGATGGTTCTGTCATCTGCTGCCAAAAAATGGAAGGATTTCAAGTATACCTTAACTAGGCAGTTTATCCTTCCATTCGCAAATGACAATGAGAAGTTAAAAGAACCCCCTCAACTTTATAAGTTCATAGAGAAATCACAATGGGATGCTTTTGTAGCTTCAAGGTTATCCCCAGATTTTGAGGCTGTGCATTCTAGGCAGAAACATAGGGAGAAATTGGAGTACAACCATAGGTTGTCTCGAAAAGGGTATGTGGGTTTGGAGGATGAATTAGAAGAAAACATGCCCGGTGAAGAAATCGATCGAGCTCTACTATGGAAGAAGGCAAGAGAAGATAAAATGGGAAACATCCCTGATCCAAAGGTTGCAGAGAAGGCAAAATTAATCGTAAGCCTCATTAACTCTGTTCTAAATTTGAAAAACAGCGTGTTTTATTTTGGTATAGATGTCGCACATTTAAATAACCGACGTTATAAAATAAACACCACGACGGTTTTTATTTACCGTCGTTTCAAATAGAATAGCACGTCAGTTTTTGCATAAATTAGAAGTCTAGATAGAATTAATACGACGGATTAAATTCCGGAGACGGCCGTCTTGTTTTAAATTTACTTCCGGAGACGGCCGTCTTGTTTTAAATTTACTCACGCACACACTCTCCCTATCTCTGTCTATTTCACTGAAATTTATGGTGCACAATTTCTGGAAAAGAATGCATATTTCAATTGAGTTTTTTCACTTCTTCATTAAAATTTACAACGGTTTTATCTCGTCTAGACATTAGAATGCGTATACAACGACAATAATTTTATGTGGCCGTTTGAAATTATGTCCTATGTCTGTTTTTTCAACATCCGTCGTCTTAATTGAAATACTACGACGGTGTTTGATTTATGTTCTATTAATCTGTTTGCTTTTGAATATACGACGAGTTTTTCTACCAACGTTTTTTGGTTTATTTTGCAGTTTGAAAAGAAAAAAGATTGAGTTCAGTATACACAAGAACATATTGCGAAGTTAAGCATGAATGGGCAAAATTCGTTAACAAGCTATTACAAAATGATAATTGATGTACATAATATTTATTAACAATGTTAAGTTTTATTTTAGTTTATTAAAAATGTACATAAATATTTTTGTTGTAATCAATCGAACAACCATCAAAAAAATTAATTTTTTTTTGAAATATTTTTAGTTCCCAAAAAATTCATGAAAACTTAATTTAATTCCCAAAAAATGACGTCTCATTCTAATTTACACGTCACATATGTGTATACAATGGTCGTCTTACTATAACTAGAAATATAACATCGACGGTAATTATTAAAAACAACATGTAACAGTAATAAACACGATGGTTTATATTTACTTCATCTTGTATGGATAAATTTATAATGATATACTACGTCTATTAGTACAACCATATCGTCGTCTTAATAATATACAAAGGCAGTTATCATACAAACTTTGACGTTGTATAATCAAACAACATCGGTGATCCAAAACAAGATGACGTGGTAATCTAACAACCCACGTAGGTGATCCAAAAAAGATGACGTGGTAACATAATCATCCACGTCGGTGATTTAAAACAAGAGGATGTGGGAACTTAATTATCCACGTCGGTGAGTAAAAACAAGACGACGTGGTAACTTAATAACGCCGTTTTATGTTCGTTTCGACGTCTAAAACAATATAGGACGTCAGTTTGTGTTGTTTAACGTCGTTGTAAAGTGATACAGCGTCGATTATGTCATTTGGCATTTAATTTTAATATGACTTTTATATTTTATTTAAGGGAGTTTCACTAAAATACCCAAAATGGGGGTTGAAATTATAAAAATACCCAACACCCAAAACACTTTATAAACATACCCAAAACCTATCATTACACACACTCAAAACCCATTTATAAACACACCCAAAAAATATACAATTGTTGATTGTAGGGTTGATTTTGGGTATGTTTCTATGTTTAAATAGTGCTTGGGTATTTTTATAAATACATGTCTAGGATTGGGTATTTTTATAAATATCTATTTATTTAATTCCATAATAAATTCAAAACTAATTCCAAAAATTAAACTGACAACTACCATGCACTCATTGAAATATTGTCTCTCCCCTAAAGCTTTAAAAAATATAATTTTACAAATATTTTTTTATTGTATTTAATTACTAATATTAATAATATATTCCAAACAAAATCCGAAAAATATACCGACAAATTCTATGCACTCATTGAGACAATATCTTGCCCGTAAAGGCCTGAAAAATGTCATTTTAGTTTTCAAAGTTCAAATGATAATAAAAGTCAAACAAATTTAGAGACAAAGCACGATACTCCTTATACTTTACGTAACATAACCCTAAAGGATATGTGATCCATTGGTGCCCATAAATTCAAAATGATGAAATCCGGATTTTAGCCTACTATTATAGAAGGCATTGTTGTAAGGAGTCCGTACCAATTTTCGGTTCATTTTTCTCATACTTGTGTATTTTTTTTATAATTATTGTAAAATTCAGGGTTTAGGGTTTAGGGTTTAGGGTTTATTGAAACGACGCCAGTTTTCTCCCGTTGTTTTCAGTCAACTACGCGTGTTCGAATCCCAGGAAACCCAAACCCCGTCTAATTATTTAATATTTACGACGTTGGTTTATTAAGGGGTGATGTAAACATAATTTACTACGTCGTTTTCTTCATTTGTTGACGTATGTTCTGTTTACAACGTTGATTTTGTATGTAAACCGCCGTCGTAAGTGCGTATTAAACTTCCATAGCTAAGTATTTACCGACGTCGTTGAAAAACGCGGTACTTTGAAATTTTTTACCAATATCTAAAATTTTCAGAATTTCCCTTTAACCGTAAAATAGTTTGTTCTCTCGACTAGCATGTTCGCAAGCGCAAAGTTTGTTGCAGTTATTTTTGTTCTATTGTTTCGTTACTTTATTTTGATGTTTTTTGTCAAACCGTTTTCTAACCTATGGTCGGCTCAGCAGACGGCTCAGCAGATATATGGGCTATTCCAAGGCCATCTTAGCTCAGAGGCTCGGCTACTTGAATGACCGACTCGGAGTCAGAACCCATCACGTCGTCCAACCACCGTGGTCGGCCTCATCCACTTCAGCGCCGAGAAAATCCCAGTGCAAAAGGAAGGGTACTTCTCCCCAAGCTTCTCGTATAAGTCGAAGTATCCCTGAACAAGTTGAGCAGCAAGCTTCTCTTCGTACTCAGCAGACCGTATATAATCCTTTACTGCATCATCATAGCATGACCGCAGCTCTAATGCAAAGGCCTCAATTTTGCGGTTCGCCTCACCTATTTCCTCCCGTGACTTGGATAGCTCTGCTCTTAGACTACGCTTGTCTGCTGTCAGCTTATTCACCGACGACAGTAGATCGGCGTTCTTCTTCATCTCGGCGTCTAGCCGACCCTGCACCAATGATAGCTCCTCATCCACCTTGGCCTATTCATCAAAGGTCCTCTTCAGCTCAGCCATAGTCACAGCCTGCTCGTCCCTCTTTCCTCGGTAAAAATCCCGACGAGCAGCAACGTTTTGAGCAGCGACGAAAAGCTTGAAGGTAGCCTGCATCAAAAATACAAATGACATATATGCTCGGTAACAAACAGATAGAATGGGGTCAGAACATGTTAAATCTTCATTGGTCCTCCAGAGCCGCAATGGTCATAAAACTAACCCATCTCCTCTGTGAACATGCTCTCTATAACCTCCACTTTCAATACCCGCTTGGCTGCTTCTTGGTAAGCCCTCAGTGCAAGCTCACCGTCCACCAAAGGCTCCAATGGACCAGTCACAGGGTTCACACTTAACCTCTTTCCCGACTCAGGAACCGCCGAGCTTACTGGCCGCTTCCCCGTACCCCGTCTAGGCTCAGCCATTCCTGCCCGGCTCGGGCTGGTTTAGCAACCCAACTGGCACCATCGCTCCTGGCCACGGATATTTGAGGTGACGCTCTCGACCGAGGCGACTGCGAGACCTCAGCCGACTCTCTCCACGTCTCCTTGGCCATCTTCATCAGCGTCCCTTGCATACTGGGGTCGTTTCGTTTTGGTCTCATCCCTGAGCACACGGATAAAATTAGTCGCCACTTCACCGCCACAAAGTATACGCGACCGGTGTACTCGAGTAGGTGTGATGACTTGGCGACAGGCGACTGGTGGTCTGAAGTGGCGCCAGGTTTTGAAATCGGTGTAGTGGAGTATGTGTGATAACGTGTCGACAGGCGACTGGTGGTCTGAAGTGGCGCATTAAATTTTCGTGACAGGAGAAAGGTTTCGTATCCCGTCACTTCAGTTGACAGGCATTGGTGTGGCTCCACGTGTGAGCATCTGGAGGAGGTAGCCGTTCGCGTCAACGGTAGAGATGGCATGGCCGTCCGAGTACAAGAACGGCAGGCAGGTTTCAATTTATCACTTTCGTCATTACTTCCGTTTGAGAGCTTTGGAGCAGAGTGTGTTGGGCGAATTTCTTTGTGTGTTGAGTCTTTGCAGACAGTAGCGTCAGAGTGTCGTGATTTCTGGTAAGCCCTTCTCCTCCTTATCTCTCCTTACCTTTCTAATCCTTCTTTCGTTCCAAAATTTGTTTCTGTTTTCGTCTAGCGTCATAAGTCTGTGTGTTTGGTGTTTGCTGGGTTTGGGGTTTGTGTTCGTCAGTTTGTTCTTGTTCTGGCATGATTTGATCCTTAGCCTCCAACTGGCCTCATTAACACATGTTTGTACCCCTTTGCAGTTGAATTGGAGCGAGCCGAGCTTTCCGCAGTTGAGCAAAAGCAGCTGGACCATTTACTTGCATTCACCAGTACCCGAGAGGGCAGCAGATAAGCTTCTTGAGAGTGAAGGGCTGATCAGCATCGCTGGTGAGTTTTGCATGCTTATAAATGTAGTCGGTTATGGTCGATATCATGGTCGGAGACTCATTAGTTTCCTGTTTCCAACAGCAATGAGGCCGAGCCGAAATGACCCTGCCTTCAAGGCTATGCTGATGAAGATGGCCAAGCGTTCGTCTGGTGGATCGGCTTGGGGTTCCCAGCCGAACCTAGTTGGGGCTTCTCCCCACATATCCGTGGCTCGGAGCCAAGCACCCGTGACAACAGCCGGCCCTGCTCGGGGAGGTCAGAAGAGGCGTGCAGAGGAGCAATTACATCGAGATATGGGAAATATGCGGGAGGAAGAGCCGAGGATAGACACTGTTAAGCGGCCTATGGGATCGGGTACTTCAGAAGGACCGAGACGGACGAGTGTGGACCCCGTAAGCGGTCCATTTGAGCCACCGATGGACGGGGGTGTTGGGCTCGGTGGTTATCAGGAGGCGGTGAGGCGCATTCTGAAGATCGACGTGATCGAGGGGATGTTCACCGAGGAGATCGGTTACAGTGGAATGACTCTGTCTGCTTTGGAGGACCAACTGGAGGTATGGTAATCTGTCACCCTACCTTCTGTTTTTCTCTCCTGAATGAGCTTTCGTGTTTTCTTACCAGTTCTTTGGTGTAGGCAAGTATGAAGTTGTTTATCGCTGCTCAGAATGTGGCTGCTCATTACGAATTTGACCGAGGAAAGCGAGACGAGCAGGCCGTAACAGTTGCCGAGCTGAAGCGAACGATAAGTGAGAAGGAGAAGGTTGAAGAAGAACTTGAGCAGGTGCGAAGCCTCCTGGTGGAGGAAGAAAATAGGAATGCCGAGTTGTCTTCCTCACTGGGAAAGTTCCGAGACGAGAATCGCTTACTCAGCCAGGAGCTGACTGTGGCGAAGGAAAATTTAGACGAGGCGAAGCGTAAGATTAAAGCCTCTACCTCCGAGCTGCGCACATGCCATGATGATGCCATTAAGGACTTCATGGATTCTGCTGAGTATCAGGAGAAACTTGCTGCTCAACGGGTCCGGGGATACTTCGACTTAATCGTTAAGGTTAGGGAGAAGTATCCTTCCTTGGACTGGAGTTTTCTCGGAGATGGAGTTGATGGGACCGAGGCCGAAGCCGAGCATTGTGGGGTGACCGAGGTGGCGATGTTCCCTGGTACGGAGCCAGTGATTCAGGAAACCGAGCCCGCGAGCCAGGGTTGTCGTGGCATAGCCCCTCAAGATCGAAGCCCAAAAAATCCAATGTCTGATAAGGCAAGCTGCTCTGGGGCCACTGGTATCAGACCCCTGGCTTTGGGGGTAGAAGATCCAAAGCCTGATGCTGATACTACTGGAAAACAGCAAGAGGACACGGTAAAATCTCTGATATTTTCTTTTTCTGCCTTTTAACAGCAAGAGGACACAGTATGTACTAGAAATCGTCGTTTATATTATATACCACATCTGTTTTTTGGGTTTAGTTAGTGTCGTTTATTTTAGTTCGCACACAAACTAACTTATATTTCTTTATTTATTTCTTATAACAGGATCTCTCAAAGCTAGACATGCCACCTCCTCTGTTAGCCTTATGCCAACTTGTCCAGACCAAGTTGTTGCCCTCTAACGAGGCTCTGACAATTCACATGCCCGAGGAAGTGTTTGGCTTTGAGCATGATACCTTCCTCTTCGCTGAAGATATTTTGCAGTTTGGTTCCATGGTTGAGATTGGAACCACAGTGATATCAGTATGCATGAGGTAATTCTAGAAATCCCATTTTGTTTTACATTTCCCTTTCTTTTGAATTAAAATCTCATTTAAATTTAATTGAATTTCATATATTTAGGTACCTATTTGACTATTTGAAAATGGCAAACATGGTAAACCTTATTGGCCTCGTAGACCCTGGGGTAGTCAGCTCTCAATCTGGATCTCTATCAGACCGAATAAAAAACCTGTCAACCCGCCTGAACACAGCAGATGGGGAACAATTTTTCTTGGTCCCTTATAATCCAGGGTTAGTCCCCTTAACTATTTAAAGTATTTTTCTTTGTAGTACTATTTAACCTATATGGATCATTATGTGTAGGGGTCATTGGGTGATGGTCATTGTGAGACCATTGAAGGAGACTGCATATTACATGAATTCACTGCCAAACCGCGCTGTTGACGACGAGATGAAAAGTATAGTGAATAGGTAAGTTCATTTATTCTGATATAAGATTTTTTGGCCTTTACCGCATTTGAAGTATACGACGGGTTTTTATAATGCCGACGTCTTAATCAAAATATAACGACGGTAATTTTTTACTGACGTTTTAAAATATTTATTACGTTCGTATTGTCTTAAAAACATCATGTTAACTTAACCACCACGTCGTTTGAGTTTTATTTAAGGACGTTTTAATTTTTTCTGTTCAATTTTTTGTTATACGACGTTTGAAATGTTACAGACGTTATAATGTTACACAACGACGGTAGTTTCATACCGCCGTTTGAAACACAATACCACGTCGTCCTGACTGATTTACCACGACGGTTACTATGTTATTTTAGATTTTTGGTTTTGTCAGTAACTCGTTTTCTTGTAACAGGTCAATTAAATTGTTTAACATTCATATAAACAAATCTTCAGCACGTAAAGAAGCCATTTGGAAAAATCTACTTGGAACTCCTGTCCAACCAACAAGTGTAGAGTGTGGCTATTTCGTGATGAGATTCATGAGAGATATAATTTATGATCAACACCTAGATTTCGAGAAGAAGGTAAAAAGGCAAAATTTTAGATATAATTTCTTTATTTTACTACGTCAACTTTTTCTTTACAACCGTCGTTTGTATCTTTATAACACGTTGGTTTTTTGGTTTATTTTGCAGTTTGGAAAGAAAAATGATAAAGTGAAGTATAAACAAGAGGATATTGACGAAGTTAGGCGTGAATGGGCAGAATACGTGAACAAGTTATTCTAGAATGATAATTGATGTACATAATATTTATTAACAATGTTAAGGTTTATTTTATGATAAACAGAGGGGCACAGCCCCAGGAAAAAAAAACAATTAAGAAACTTCAGAACAAATCAAACGGGATCTGGGGATCCCAAGCAAGTCCTCATCCAACAGGTCACTTGCCCGAGGAGGAGCAATTTCAAAAACACAAACACCAAGATCCAGATTGTAGCTCCAGTTAGCAAGCCTATCTGCGACACAGTTTATCTCCCTGTAAACGTGTTGGACCACACAATCCCCAACTTGCTTCATGAGATCACAGCAGCTAATAATTAAGGGAGCAAGGGGATGGCACTCCAAGTGCCCAGCTTTATGAATAAGCTGAACAGCCACAGTCGAGTCCATCTCCACAATTAGTTTAGACAGACCCTTTGCCACTGCCAGTTTCAGACCAAATTACTTGGAGGAGTAAGAAACAAAGAGTTGTAGCAAGATCCAGTGCTGAAGCTGAGTTTAGAGGAATGGCTCAAGGAGTATCTGAATTGCTTTGGTTGCGAAGATTGCTAAAGAATCTTGGCATTAAACAAGTGAATGCCACAAACCTATATTGTGACAATAAAGCTTCCATCGAGATAGCACATAACCCAGTACAACACGACCGTACCGAACATGTGGAAGTCGACCGACACTTCATCAAAGAGAAACTAGAAAGTGGTATAATTAAGTTTCCATTTGTAAACTCGGAAAACCAACTTGCCGACATTCTGACGAAGGCCGTATCGAGTAAAGTCTTTCATGACTCAGTTGACAAGTTGGGCATGCGTGATATCTTTGCACCAACTTGAGGGGGAGTGTTGACAATGACTTGAGACAACTAAAACAAGGAAAAGCTTGTCTATCATCTCTCATACTTTTCCATGTTTACATATCCATGTTTTAGGGATGTTTTCACATCCATGTTTTAGGGATACCTTTCCAGGATTTGTGTTAGATGTAATTATTAATTAGCCATGTACAATTGCATATAACTCTCAAGTGAGTAATACAATTTCAGATTAGCATTTTCTGCAAATCTTCTTCTCCAAGTTCATCTCTATTCTCTCAATTACACTATCTTTGGCACATAGTTGGAACACATTCTACTATGCAAGGGTATATCTAAGGGTTATCTCCGTGCTTGGTAGTAATGCTTAAGTAGAGCTGAGGAAACCTCTAAGAGTATGATTATTTAATTATCTGTTTATTTATCATCTATTTATATTTGTTCATATGGTTAATTGTATTGTAAGAGTATAAATATAATATTGGAATGATATGCTAATCAGAGATCAATATGGCTAGCAAACTAGTTGAGTATTTGATATAATTTCAGTGATTGAAAAGGAAGAATTATAGCTCTTGATTTTTATCAGATTTTGATATATATATATATGTGGATATATATTTTAAGTTCAATTGAGAACCAGTTTATTGAGAGTTTATGTAAATAACGGATTATGGTTCTCAAACCCACCACAAGGGTGCCCCTAGTTACTTTGAAACAGTTTGGTATCTTGTTAACGCCCCACGAGTTCGGGGACACTTGGACCGTGTGGTGCGAGGAACGCGGCTCAGGCTGACTTATGGTCCCCTGAGACCTGCGAGGAGCGCAGCTCGGGTTGACTGGGTGTCTCCGAGGTCTGTGAGGAACGCGGCTCAGGCTGACTTATGGTCCCCTGAGACCTGCGAGGAGCGCAGCTCGGGTTGACTGGGTGTCTCCGAGGTCTGTGAGGAACGCGGCTCAGGCTGACTTATGGTCCCCTGAGACCTGCGAGGAGCGCAGCTCGGGTTGACTGGGTGTCTCCGAGGTCTGTGAGGAACGCGGCTCAGGCTGACTTATGGTCCCCTGAGACCTGCGAGGAGCGCAGCTCGGGTTGACTGGGTGTCTCCGAGGTCTGTGAGGAACGCGGCTCAGGCTGACTTATGGTCCCCTGAGACCTGCGAGGAGCGCAGCTCGGGTTGACTGGGTGTCTCCGAGGTCTGTGAGGAACGCGGCTCAGGCTGACTTATGGTCCCCTGAGACCTGCGAGGAGCGCAGCTCGGGTTGACTGGGTGTCTCCGAGGTCTGTGAGGAACGCGGCTCAGGCTGACTTATGGTCCCCTGAGACTTGCGAGGAGCGCAGCTCGGATTGACTTGGTGTCTTCGAGGCCTGCGAGTAACGCAACTCGGTTAACTTTGTGTTTCCGAAGTTGCGAGGATGGAATTGACGGAATAATTGGAATTGACGGATCAGGAATGGGGGTACGCCTAGGTGGAGAGAATTTAAGCTTTGAAACGCTTTTAAAGTAAAAGTGAGGAATTTTATACAGTTACTATCATTTTCTTAATCGATATATTTATGTCACAAGAGAAAGACGGATATATATATATATATAGAAGAGCTACGTGTGGCTTGATCCCTCAGTAAGGGTACGTTGGCAGCCTTTTGTTATAAGGTGCAACCACGAGTTGGATTCTTTGAGATTGTTAATGTATTATTGATATTCTGAGAGCTAAGATAAATTTCATTAGCTAAATGATTTATTTGATTCTTTTGAGGCCTGAGGCCAGAATAATATGATGCTTGACTTCTGATATAATTTGAATCATGTTGGTAGTTGGGTTTTATTCGTGTATGCTTGTTTGACAGGTGGTAATTTTTGGGAAATGTTCAATTTACAGGGGAGACTCTGCCGAATTTTCGGCAGGAGTTGCACTTGATTTTCATGGAATTTTAGTTAGAAGGGCAATTTGGTCAATTGTGCCCGGTAACTGCCAAGTGTCGGACACGCACAAGGTTTGACTCGGATTCCAAAGTGGAATTTGGGTCGGGTCCTGTCATAAAATCTTGGGTAGGGCTGCTTGATCATATGGGTTGTGCGCAATTGTAATCACTAAAAGAGTACAACCCCTTGCACTTTGGTCACATTCAACCCAACCTAGTCCCAACCCTATGAGTATAAGAGAGTTGTCGTAAGCGGTAGTGTTACCCAAAAATGCCTATAACGCGAATAGCCCCTACTTTGCACTCGCTTTTCACCATAAGAAATGTGAAGTCTCAAAGACCAAAATATTCGATAAAAGAAAATAAAAGGAATTTGACAAATTATATGTTCACACTCGTAAATTTGTTTGTAATAAAATGACAAGTAAAATTTTTCTCTTCACAAATGACAACTAAAATTACCACAATGAGGTGAATGGCTTATATATAAAAAAGTAAAAATAAAAGTATATCAATTTTTTGGACACTTGTTATAGTATCATTAAACACAACCTCACACTTTCACTTCACCCATACCTTTAACTCTGTTCTAAATGACATAAATCTACCTAGGTTGTGTGAAAGGAGTACCATGCAGGAACAAATCGTCATTTTTAATAATTTCAGGAGGAAATGCAAGATTTTTTTGTATATTTTTGCACTTTTTATTTTGGGTGTTTGCTTTAAGAATTTCAAGGTTCGTGGCATACCTGGTAAAAAAGCATGAGATATAGCGTATTTGAATATTGTCACTACATCTTATCTGCCATTAGATTCAGTCCCATCAGAGTCCCATCTAGTGAATGCACCAGTAGTCTTGATTTTAAGCGTTTTACTTCTATGGGGAATGCTAGCAACCTTCTCTCTAACCTTCTCCTTTGGACCTTCTCCCTTTTCTACATGACATGTGGCACTTTACTTTCTTTCAAAACAGTTGGGGAGTGCTAGCAACCTTCTCTCTAACCTTCTCTTTTGGACCTTCTCCTTTCTTCTCATGACAAGTGTCACTTTCCTTACACTTAAAACAATGTCATTAATGCATCACACAAACTAGTTTTTGTTTTCCAAGTTTACCCTTATTAAATGTATTAATTTTTTTTAATAACAAGCTAATTTTTTTACAACTTTCTTACCATCTTGTTAAAAAATTAAATAAGAAAATAAAAACTGAAGTTTTTTATAAAAAAAAAAATTTCCAAAGAGAACGTGTGTTTTGTTATAAACAAAATAAAGATGATAACAATGTCATGAAACGAACTTTATTTTTTTTTATAAAAAATATGACGTTTTTCTTATGTTTTTTTATTATTTAATTTTTAATAATGTGCTAAAGAAGTTGTAACAAAATTTGAATAAATTGAAGGAAATATAGAAGCCAATACATTTTAAAAGGGTAAATTTGGAAAACAAAAACTAACTTGTGTGATGAATTAATGACATTGTTTTAAGTGTAAGGAAAGTGACACTTGTCATGAGGAGAAGGGAGAAGGTCCAAAAGAGAAGGTTGAGAGAAGGTTGCTAGCATTTCTCTTGCTGTATTGTATAATTTTTCCACAAGCATGCCCACTTAAAAAAGTCTGTCCGGTCCATTTTTGTCCTGCATGTGATCAAAACAAAAGTTCAACGTAATCAATTAGCTAGATAATTGATAATTGCAAGCTACTAATTATAATTTTATTACCGAAGACCTCAAATATTTTGTATTTCTTTTATTTTATTTTTATTAAATATTCTCGCACAGTCAAGATTTGAAAAAAAAAATGAAAATCTTGAAAGCACAGATGTTGGGATTCACGATGCTTACAACGAAGAAGGTGGAGGTGGTGTTGATGTTCATCAACCAAGGAGGGGTCGAAACCACAACATTTGTGGCAATACATTTTATGCACAAAGGCGAGCGTGTTGGGATTAGCAAAGTTGGCAACAAGTACAACAACAACTCGAGCCTACCATTTCTTCTCAGTCTTCTTGTTCTTCTTGTTACTGCTTCTTCTGTTTTCTTTTATATATCAATGGTGAGTAAGCAAAACAAAAAAATGAAGCAAGCGGCTTCAGTAAAAAAAAAAGGGGCACGACCAAGAAGAACAAAAATAAATAGTTGGCGGAAAACTAGATTTTATGGGGCAGGTCAAGACTTGACCACATGTTATGGGGCATGAAAAACTAGATTTATGTATGGACTTGTTTTGTGGCAATCAATAAGTCAGATTTCTTCGTTATTAGTTCTTTCTCATACTCAGAATTAAGCTTTCAGATGTTCATGGCATTCGAATGGGGGAAAGTTTCCTCTTCTCGTTTGCGCAAATTAATAATAAATCCAAATACACAGTATATGTTAGGGGTTGATCCTTCTATGATTTTGATCAAGACCCACATGACTTCGGGGTTCATAATCCCTACTTTTCTCATGTAGAAGGTATTTTTCATGCTGAAAATCAATATATTAAATTCCACAGATTCTCAACTCCAATACTATAACTAACCACATTCAAATAGTAGACACTACAAAGAAACAAAGACATGGACTATAAAATGGAAATGAACTCCAGCCTCTTTCTTTATTCAGCAACACAGCTTTCCTTACTTTCTCTCTTGTTTATTTTTACCAAAGCTTATACCATGGCTTCTTGCTCGTTCCTTCTTCTTCGCTCGAGCTTCTTGCTTCGTCTTTCCTCGAGTTGTAGTACATGTTGCCATCTGATTTTGAAGTATTGGCCTCCACTTATTTGAAGATCTGTCCATTTTTATCTTTGCATATATATAAGATGGGTCTCGATCTCGAACTGAAGCTGAACAATTGAACCAGAGCCGTCAGGAGAGGGTAAGAAACTGCTTTCCCGGTCGCCCTAGAACGCTTTCTGGCCCCAAGGAGAAAGAACTGAACAAGAGCTCCAACAAAATGAAAATAGAGAGGCAGAAAATACTGATGAAAGCAACGACACCAACAACATTAATGAGAATTATTTCTCTGCAATTGACAGCACAGGTGTTGGGATTCACCATGCTTACAACGAAGAAGGCGGAGGTGGTTGTCTGCCGCGCAGATCTCACGGCCTGGGTTTCCGGGCTGAGGGGATATGCGTTGACACGAGGCTTCCTACTTTTGGGTGCAGTGCGGTTGTGCGCGGGCGTGTCAGCACGGTCTACCGTGCGTCGAGATGGTTGATGTGAATAGAATGGTTAAGTGGTGCGCCTGTTTGGACTCGTCTTCTAATCAAATGATTGTAGCCGAGAGAGGAACTAATCTCGGCTGTTAGGTTCACGGCCTGAGCTACAAGGCCGTTTAGTGATGGTGTTGGTGGGTTTTGGGCGGTGCTCCAGCACGCTGCTCAGGGATCGACGGTCGTATGATATATGGGGTGAATGAGCGAATAACAAGGATGATGCTCCGGCGCCTTGAAAATCAAGGGTCGTATGATATATTGATGAATGGATTTTCCTTACAGTCTAACACTACTCCTAGGAAAGCAAGTAAAGATATTGAAAGTGCATTACAGGAAAATATCAGTTGCTCCGTGGGAGGCTTTGGTTTGGTGTTTGAACCCTTTGAATGTAGCTTGAGCTTTGTATTTATAGGAAGAGCCCTTGGATGAGTAATCGGGGCTGAAAATCTGCATGGTGGAGCCTCATCAGAGCAAGTGGAGAGTCCAATCGACATTTGGGATAGTGAAGCATGGTGGTAGCCAGCTCAGAGCAAGTGGACAGTCCAATCGACATTTGGGATCGTGAAGCATGGTGATGTGACCCCATAAATCTTGGTGAATCTCGGCCGCCGCCCTGATCGTGGGTTCTGCACTTCTGCTTGTCAGAGCGTTACGTCTCTCGAGAGAGACACGCCCTTTCGTTTCGAATTCTAGCGCCAATATAAAAACCCAAACTTCTTCGCTTTCTTCTCACGCTTTCAGAATTCTCAGACGCCCAAGCTTTGCCAAAAAACCTCTCTCAATCTTTCAACCTGCCAAGCTCTCAAATTTCCAGTTTTATCAAAGAATCCTGCTTGAAACCACGACTCCCCTCTGCTCTTGAACTTCGCCCTCTCCAGAATCTACAAACCCTCACCCTTTTTCAGGATTTTCTTCCAGTGTTCTTTACGTTCATCGCCTTTTTCTGCATTTCCCCCTTAAACACTCATCTTAAATCTGCTTTAATGGCCTCCAGTACCTCCCGATCTGTCGAAGCTCGGTCCCAAGCCTTCCAGATTGAGTTCGAGGATATTTGCCGAGAAATCTAGGGCTCGGTCCTCCCCAACATCATCGCGCCCTGGACTGATGACGACGGTACCCCTACTGATTCTTGCATTCTCGGCCCTTCTATAGATGGCTGAATGCCAGAGAGGTTAGTGGCGCACTTGAAGAACAATCTGGTGGACCTCTCGGCTTTTGACGGGGGGGACTTCCAAGATTGGAATGTTATCAGGCCGCAGCAACAGTGGCCAACCGTGACCCCGGACTGGGAAAAGTGGCTGCCGAGGATGGAGCACTTCTTCGGCCAGCAATGGAAAGATCAAGGCATCTACCATGTGATCAAGCTGTTCGATCGGCCGCACGTCATGGATCGGTCGCTCTTGGCCGCGGCCTTGTGCTTTTGGTCATCGGCCACCAACACTATGAACTTTCGGTTCGGCATGATGACGCCGATCGTTCTAGACATGGCCGCCCTGTTCGGCCTGTCTCCTCTCGGCGTGGAAGTAAACGCCGCGCTTGTTGCTCCCGAGATGGAAGGGAACTTTAAAGCCACATGGCCCACTCTTACGAGAGTCGCCGGGAACAAGGCGAAAAACATGCTCAACTATTCTAGCTTCTACAGCAACTTCGGCGTAGAGGACAGCGCCGAAGACAACGCCATCGCCCCCCTTGGCGAAGTTGAGCACGCTGCATTCTTGCTGTACTGGCTGTGCAAGTTCGTGTTTTGCACCCAGGCGAACAAGGTCACCGTGGAGTTCGCCCACTTAGCCGATTATCTTGCGCAGGGCGGAAAGCTAGCGCTCGGCCCATTCCTGCTCGGCCACATCTACCGCACGCTTCATGACATCGTTACCGATGGGATGAAGCCGAAGCACGGCGGTCCACTATGGGCCTTTCAGTTCTGGCTGCAAGCTTACTTCCCAGAGCTGAGGGGGGTGGCCAATCCCAACGACGCCGAGCCGCTGGCCAACGCATTCGCCCGAGCCCCCAAGAAGCATAATGCCACAGCCTTCTGCTACAAATTCTTCTACGGCTTGACCGAGAGGACTGGTACGCAATTCCGAGTCTGTCTCGCTCGGCCGTTCCCCCTGTTCCTTACTCACGACCTCTCCGTTATTCCTGATGGCGAGACGGAGAACGATCTGAAGGAGATCTGGGGCTCCTTCCTGGTTTCGTTCGACGGGAATCCACCGTCGTGTATCATGGTTTACAACCGACGAGAAATCGACCGCCGTATATTAACACATGAAATAACGACGGTAAATAACCGACATGGTTAATATATTACACGTCATTAAAAAAACTAAAACCGACGTAGATTTCATACATAAAAGCATAAAAAAGAGACCTTTCGACTATAATAGACGACGATTTTAGTAAAACACAGACGTTTAAATAATGTTAAATGTCAAAAACAACTACAAAACCGACGTAAATATGTTTATCAACGTCTCTAAATCAAACAAAACTGAAGTGTAAAACTTAGAAACCGTCGTGGTTAATAAATACTACGTTCACTAAATAAAAAAACTGACGTCTAAAACATATAACATGGCATATATTTACTTTCACTGACGTAAAAACAATAATAATCACGACCCTTTAGGTCACCACAGACGTTGAAAATTATTTTGACGGCTTGAACACAAAAAAAACGACGTAGTTAACATATTACACATCATAAAGAAACTAAAACCGATGTCGATTTGATACATAAAAGCATAAAAAGAGAACTTTCGACTATAATAGACGACGACTTTAGTAAAACACAGACGTTTAAATAATGTTAAATGTCAAAAACAACTACAAAACCGACGTAAATATTTTTATCAACGTCTCTAAATCAAACAAAACCGACGTGTAAAACTTAGAAACCGTCGTGGTTAATAAATACTACGTTCACTAAATAAAAAAACTAACGTCTAAAACATATAACATGGCATATATTTACTTTAACTAACGTAAAAACAAAAATAACCACGACCCTTTAGGTCACCACGGATGTTGAAAATTATTTTGACGGCTTGAACACAAAAAAAACGACGAGGATTTAACATTACACGTCGGTTAATTAAAATACCTGTCATGTTTAATCCATTTACTACGGCCTAGGAGTCACATTTTAGGACGTTGTTAGTGCTTTACAACGTCGGTGGTTGTAGACTTTGATGTGGTTGGCATTTTAAAAGTCTCTTTTGTGAGCCATTTAGACGTGTGTAATCTCTGAGACGTCATTGTTTTTAGCTTAACCGTCGTTAATAAGTAACGAAACGCCTTGAGTTATGCATTTGACGTCGGTTATTATAAAATGTAGGTCGTGGTTATACTTTACTATGTCCCAAGAATTCAATTATTCGACGTTGTTATTTCCTTACTACGTCGGTTATTTATTTATTCCATGACGTGGCTAGTCTTTGTTAAGTCTCTTTTATAACCTTTTTTGACGTGTGTATTCTCCGAGACGTCAATTGTTTAATTATAACTGACGTGCAACAATGTTTTTACGACGTTAATCATCAATTGATTATAT